GTTATTTTAACAAAACAATATTGTGTTATGAAATAGAGCTTACATGTACAATACAGGGAAAATCAAATGAAATGGCGATGAAGGCTCAACTTTAATAAGTTTAGAATAAGGAACTAGATCTTGTGTATTAAAATTATGATGATTACATCCGCTAGTATCTTATGGAGATGAGGAAGTTAGAATGTGCGAGTAATTATTTATTGAGATATTTCAAAGAAAAATATCAATCAAAAGTTTATAAGAAAATTTTAGAGAATTTGTTGTGCTGGTACACCTGACCAGTTTGTGTTAGGTGGTAGTTGGTCATTCTTCATTACAAGTGTCCATGGTAAGATGCGATTTCTTCCATGTAGTATTGCTCCAGAGAGTACTAAGGTGTTATTCATAAGTACACTCGAATGATTTACATTGACGGGTGCAAATTTTAATACCCGCTGTTCGAATGTATGACACTAAACATAAAATAGGTAAGATAATATGAATTGGATTTTATACTATAGTAGACATATTACCTGCACATGAGCGCCTCTTTGTAAGCGAACATGATCACCAATAGTGGCAAGATCGGGATCAGTAAGACAACTGATATGAGGTAGAATAACGTCGCATCCAATTTGAGCGCCAAGCGCTCGATAAAAGAACACAAGAAATTGTGTTCCTGATAAATATGGACCGACAAAAATGAAAAAATCAAACATCCATAAGCGAAAAAACTGTTGTGAACAATTGATAACCTCAGAAAATGTGAATTGTGTTCGTTTGTTTCTGATTGCAATAGAAAAGCGATAAACAACGCAGACGATCATAATATGAAGAAGTGGTGAAAAAGCAACTGGTAATGATAAATATAAAATGATGAATGCACTCTTATATAAAAAGAAATGAAGACAATTGAACATCAGAGTATGCATAGAAACAGAGTTTGAAGATGACGATAAACCATCGACGAAAGATGTGGTATCAACCAGTACAAATGGCATTTCACGAGCTGGAATACCTAGTAATACTCGATTAGTATCTTTACTAACTGTATCTGGTACAATTAAAGTAAGACTACCAATCATTGTTTTGGGTGAAAGTCGTGTACCTGGCATAATTGTGCACCAATTAGTAAGATTCGTATTTGCACCAATATGAATTTCATCAAGGTAACAAAGACCTTCTTTTGTCATTTCAAAAGAAGCAAGTTTAGTTCCAGCAAATGTTGTTACGCCACGTTCGATATTAAGCAAATCTGTTGGAAAATATAGTATTTGTGTAAATTCAGCGAATTTAACATCATCTTCGATATGAGCACCTAACCACCGCAAAATAATCGATGCAAAGATGTCATATCATTGGCGGGCCGGGGGTTTTTGAGTATGATATATTTCAGCTTTAGAACATGGGACCAAGATGAAACTTATGGAAGATGATAAGGAGACCAAATGGTCACCTTTTGCGAAAAAAGTTTTGTGATTGATGTTTGCGAAAAAAAGATCAATTTTTTAGGTGCCCCCCCTGACCTTTTCTTTTCGGTTTACCGATATCCGGATTTTTAGAATTTCATCATAATCTACATCGAATTTCATCGACAGATTTCAAATTTCGTCGAAAAATATGCATCCGTTCTGAAGTTATAGCATTCTGAACTTTTGTTCTGTTTTTTGGGATATTAAAAAAAAATTGAAAATACGATAACTTCAGAACGGATGCATATTTTTCGATGAAATTTGAAATCTGTCGATGAAATTCGATGTAGATTATGATGAAATTCTAAAAATCCGGATATCGGTAAACCGAAAAGAAAAAGTCAGGGGGGGCACCTAAAAAATTGATCTTTTTTTCGCAAACATCAATCACAAAAATTTTTTCACAAAAAGTGACCATTTGGTCTCCTTATCATCTTCCATAAGTTTCATCTTGGTCCCATGTTCTAAAGCTGAAATATATCATACTCAAAAACCCCCGGCCCGCCAATGTGTCATATGGTGGTATCACAGCTAGCGAATGATGAAATGATGTTATAATCAATTGACGCAACCATAATTTATGCAAATAGTACTGAGAATTCAGTGAATAGTACCCTGATATTGAAGGGCCTACAATAAATTTCAATAAGAGTAACATAGTAAAGAGACTTGTCAATGACCACATTAGCCAGCTCAGAGCAAGACTGATAGACAATGGCAGTAGTAAAGTGAAACAATTCGTATATAATTCGTAAGCTAACAAGAGAAGCAAACTATGAATGAAAAGAAGGGTGAGTAAGCAAGTGAGTTGATACATAGTTTGACTGAACGATAATAATCGATCTTGGCAAGAGATATGATGTTTTGATGCTAGAATGAGACCTGAGATCGAAGACATCGGTTCTATATAGACGCAATCTTCGACAAACACATTTTCATAGAGCACAGAACGTATGCCAATGGAACAATAGGATCCAATTTGAATTCGATGAAGTTCATAAGTTCGATCTTGATATGATAAATTTGAAAGTACAACGTCTACACCAATAAATGTAAAGTCACCCACTTCAATCAACCAAGGAGCATCAATTAATACGGTGTAAATATGTGAATGATCTCCAATTTTAGCACCACACAGTCGAAGATAAGAATTGTAAAATGATGTACCCAATAGATGTTTTAACCAGTAAGAATTATTGATTGACCACATACTATTCAAAAACCACCACCGATAATAATACCATGAAAACAATTTATCCGCTTTGTTTCCAATCTCTTCTCGATAAACTAGCAGACGTTGACAAACAACATATGAGAGAAGGTGAAAAGCAGGTACAAAAAGAAGGATAAACAATGGATGAAGTTGATATGTTAACCATATGGGAAGTATCCATTGACATATAAGTAGTAGAATACCTAACATTTCTATGTATAGACATGGCATTGATCGATCGTACTCTTCTTTTAATTCTGCAGTAGTCGATGTAAGAGTTGAGTCATCATATGTGACTAATAAAGGCTCTATTGCTTGTGCAAGTTGTCGAATGGATGGATTGGCAAATAAGAGATCAACGTCAATGTTGGTGCAGATTTCTTGACGAATAAGCCATAGTGCTCGTATGACATCTAATGATGTTCCACCCATTTCTCGAAACGATGCGTCTACACAAGGTGATTCATTATGAAATACATCACTAAAAATACGTTGTAGATGGCCTTCAAGTGATGTTAGTGGGGTTAAATCCGTTAACTCGGTCTTGTTAACAGCCTTAAAATCAGGTTGAGGGAGAAGTTTTCGATCTATTTTACCATTTGCATTTAAAGGCAACTTGTCAAGTATAACAAAGAACGACGGAATCATATGAGGTGGTAAATGTGATTGACAATGTTTATGTAATTGTTTTTCGTCAGTATCACTAATTTTTTGAACGTAAGCAACCAAATGATCAGTGCCCCATTTTGTAATAATACAGGCCGAAATCGATGTCTTAAGTAAACATAGTTCAATTTCTCCTAATTCAATGCGTTGTCCACGCAACTTGATTTGGAAATCTTTGCGACCAATATAATGAAGGAGACCCTTGCTATCCATTCTAACAAGATCACCTGTACGATAGAACAATTCACTATCAATCTGAATGAATACTTTCGCTGTCAAATCAGCACGTCCAAGGTAACCAATAAAGACACCCACTCCCCCGACAAGCAATTCTCCTTCTTGGTCAATGGCTACACTTTGTAGAAATTCATCTAGAACTAGGCTTTTATAGTTTGGAAGTGGTTTGCCAATTGGAATTTTTCCAGTGAGTGTGGTCATAAGCAAAGACTGAGCTGTACAATCAACAGTCGTCTCGGCTGGACCATATAAATTCCATACTCGACATGTTTTGGGTACAGTGCTTAGAATTAAGTGTGCTAACTGCGCAGTACATGCTTCACCTATATATAGATGAAATCGAATAAGAAAAATGAATAAGAAGTTTTCTTTCAATAATACATACCACCACTACCAACTGATCGTAGACATTTTGTGGCATTAAAACAATTAATCTGATGCAGAAACGTGAAAAAATTGTGAAGTATAGTTGGTACAGTGGTAATCCAAGTGATAGTCTTCTCTTTCATAATATGAACAAGGTAGTCGAAATCCATGTTTCCTCCTGGATGCAGCATAATTAGTGTAGCTCCGATCACCAGTGTTCCCATTATATCTCGGATATGAGCATCGAAAGAACAGCGTGCCATTTGTGCCACTGTGTCTTTCTCACTGATCACATCACTACAGTTCAAAGAACGAATCAATTCTATGAAATTTCGATGCCGTACTTGTGCCTTAAAAGAAGTCAGATATTCCTATTAAGTGAATGCATCATACACTCAATTACTAACCGCTTTTGGTGTGCCTGTTGAGCCACTTGTGAAAATAATATAAGCCGTACTATTGTGTGTGACTACCACACTTGATAGTCGATTAACATCAATATCATTCTGTCTATCATTGCCAATTAATAGTGAAGCAATATCAAGCGATATAATATCATCGTTAAACTTTAGTTTGGTCAGATAATGAACGAGAACAAGACGAGTTTGAGTTTCTTGTACAAGTGCGTGTAACCGATGTTGTGGATCTCGGGGTGATAGTGGACAATATACACCACCAACCATTTCAATTGTCATTATACCAATCACCTAAACAATGACAATCACAAATGGACTCCAAAAGATGCTTGTCGCATTTAGCTTACCATTGACAAACTTCGCTCCACACATTGACAAATTATTTCACCTGGAACAATATGATATTTGCTCATAAGATCCAAAGATAATATTTGAGCATAATATAATAGCTCGGAATATGTCAAAGATTGATCATCGAGTTCAACAGCCAATTTTTGTTGATGTTGCGTCACTTGCCGCGTAAATGCGTGATGAATACAACTGATTTGACCATCATTAACAAGGGTATTATTCAAAGCACGTATTAGTCCCAGTTCATGTGGTAATACAAGAGAAAATTGAGATATAGAAGAAATAGAAAAGATTTGTTCAAAAATATTCTTCAAACGATTTGCCATTATGGAAATAGTCGATTCATCATATAAATCTAGTGAGGCATTGAACGAAACAGTTATTGTTTCCTTTTGACGATATTCATGGAGTGTACATGTCATATCGAATTTGGCAATATTACCAGCTAGTACCTTCCGATCCATAGTATTAAGTGTAGTTCCCTCGCCGAGTTCTATATTGTGTTCGGCACTATCCATTTTTGTTTCGACAAGAAAGAATATTCGCAGGAATGATGATCCTAATTTTGGATTAAGTTTAACAATTTCTTGATAAGGCAGATGTATATGTGGAAGAATATCTAGCCAAGTTTCTTGAATTCTTTGGCAAAGTTGTATAAAAGATTCGTGCGGATCGATTGTCAGACAAAATGGTAATGTATTAGCAAAAAAACCAATTACATTTTGAAGTTGATATTGAGATCTATTAGCAACTACAATACCTGCACACAAATCGAGCTGCTGACTGCTAGACATTTTGAAAAGAAAAGCAAAAAAAGCAGCTAAACCAGCTTGAAAAAGTGTTAAATTTGACTGAGAAATAAAATGATTCAAACTGATAACAAAATCTCGATTAAGATCGAAAGTGATAGTATGACCCTTGCCAGTTCTTACTGAAGAGTTTTGTGCATGAATTGCATTGTCGAAGATTGTCAGAACATTCTTCCAATATTGTCGAGTATTCGACCAATCTTCTAATAGTTCATATTGTGCATAATCAAGATAGGTAATATTATCTTCATAATTGTAATGTAATTCACTCGTTATAAGAGCTTGTCGAAGATCATTAATAAATATTTGAATTGAACTACCATCGAAAGCAATATGATGAAAGTTGAAAAGAATGATGTCATTTTGTTTTAAACTACTGCCATCGTCATTGTTTGATGAGTGACAGAGAATATGACAGCGAAACACACGACCTTTCTCAAGATCAAACAAAGATCGATTAGTTTCTTCATCATATAGAATTTGTTTTAAATGTATATCATTTACTATATTGGTTACTTCGAAATTATAAAGATTCTCTGATATTGGAAGTATCTTTTGTATGAGTCCGTCTTGACCATAGATTAATGCTGTGCAAAGTATGACATGTTTCTCAACAATAAGTGCAAGAGCATGGCGAAGACGATCTAAAGAAAATGTCGTGTTTGATGACAATTTGTAGATGAGTAATTCATTATAAACTGATATTTGTTTGTTCATCGATTCATTGAAACGAACTTTTTCATCCGTCCAGAGACGTTTTTGAGCAAATGAGGCCATTCCGAAAAAAAAGCAAGCTGATAGATTCAATTCTATTTTGTAAAAAAGAGTATACCTTGTACTAGATGAAGTGGGCTGCAAGATGTATGCATTCTTGGTTGGCTATTTATTACAAGCTGAGCATGATTTGCAATAGTTGGATTAATGAAAAAATCATGTACATTGAGTTGTTCATCTGGAGCCAAGTGAAATTGGTAATAATTAAAAAGTTGCATTAACGAAAGAGACGAGCCACCTAATGCAAAACAATTCATATGACGAGGAACAGCATTAACTCGTAATGCAGAACACCATAAACTATGTATTCTCTCTTCTAATCGCGACATCGGTTGATCTTCGGTACGAGTGAAATTAGCTAGGAGATCGTCGCCTTTTGTAGGTAAGGGAAGTTGCTTTCTGTCGATTTTTCCATTGGCATTAAGTGGAAACCTCTCGAGTACAATAAAATAAGATGGAACCATGTATTGACGAAGACGTTTATTGCAATAAGCTCTAATCTCTTCAATGTTAACTTCTGAATCATTTGAGATTATATAGGCAACAAGCAAATCATCTTTTTCCGACAATTTAGTGACAAGACAGTTAGAGGTTTTTGTAGGAGACCAAGTTGTAATTGTATTTTCAATTTCACATGTTTCCACTCTTTGACCACGTATTTTAAGTTGAAAATCAATACGTCCAGCATGAACGAGTTGACCTCTTGCATTGTATCGTGCTAAGTCACCTGTTTTCATATAAACTTCATTGTCAATGGTGGTAAACATTTTCGTAGTCTGCTCAGGATTATGCAAATAGCAGTGAAACAGAGTGGGCCCTATTAAAAAATCAAAAAGCAGTTAATAATACTTTAAATGAAGACTTTTAACCTCCAATATGTATTTCACCAATTTCACTTGTAATGCCTGTACTACTAATCACTTCACATTGCTCATTGACAAGTAAACATCGAACGCCTGGTAATGGATAACCGATAGGAATAATGGTGTCGTTGATGTCAGATAGTTGGCATCCAAGGACGCCATTACATTCAGACATACCATAGAGGGAAAAGATTCGAACATTGGATGAGCTTAAAAAAGTGGTAAATTTAGTCCATTGCTGTGACTTCACCGTCTCACCTAAATTATATCAAAACAAGTAAAAAAGAAACACAATTTGAAGCGCAAATGAAATATCAATAATTACCTGCAGTAATCAAATTATGTACAAACTTGAATGTTTTGAATTGTCGGCTCATTTCGAGATAATTAGTGAGCGCTGAAATGATTCCAGAGCCAATCGTAAGTGTTGTTACTTGTTGATTTATGAGTGTCTGAGAAAAATAGTCCATATTTAAATGGCCATCTGGTCGTAAAAGCACAAGAGTACCACCTAGAGCTAGTGGTAAGGACAGTTCCGTCAGATGTAAGATCCATGAACAAGCAGCTACTTGAAGAATTTGATCTCGAATCGTGTACATACCAGCATCCCATTGAATAAAAGCAGCAGTGCTACTGGCAAAACTTTTGTGGGTATGTACAACTGCTTTTTGTCGGCCAGTTGTACCTGATGTACAAATGATGTAGACGGCACCATGTTCGTTACAATCTGGAAGCTTATCCAAATCTTCGACAACAAGTAATGGCGAGAGAATTACATCCAAGCCAACTATATGTTGAACTGATGTTGTAGGAAACCGTTTGCGTGTTTTTTCATGAACCAGAACATATTGACCTTGCATCTGTTCAAGAAGTGTAATAATACGCTCCGTTGGATCTGATGGATTTAAAGGACAATACACACCACCAACGCACATAATACTAAGGATGCCACAAACCATGTCAAAACTGCGCTCGACAAATTGGTAAATAATCTGTCCTTTAACCATATTCAGGCGGTGCAATTGACATGCAACGTGTTCGACTCGTTCAATCAATTCGGCATATGTCCATCCTTGATCGTCAAGGACTATGGCTATCTTCTGAGGATACATCTGAGCCATATTAAGTAATCGTCGTAATGTATAAAATGACGATGCCATATTTTGTAGAATTATGGCTGAAAATAAGTTTAGGTAGAATCTGAAAAAAGAATATAAAGAATTGTACGAGGAACTAATATCTATGCAAATTTTGATAAAATTGTAGCGATGAAATTACTCAATCAATTAATCAGAAACCATAATTTCATTCATGATTTACGAAGAGAGATAAGCATACATAAATGAAACAGGTACTGTATTGATAGCATACGGATTCCCAAACTATTCAATCGGACTTGTGGATCTTGTTGAAAGCGAACAAATCCGATATTGGTTTCCTTTAGAAATCAGTGTCTTTCGACAAAAATCAATCGAATTTGATCTAGTTTTCGTTACATTCATTCCGACTGATCTCTGAATCGAAATATATTTGAGAAGATACGATCTTCTCATATTCTCTTTGGAAAACAACTGAAAAATGCGTCAAACAGGAAGATATAATTGAGTATCAAAATATGCTCTAGGCACGAAGTAGAAAAATGTGACCGTAAATTTTAAAATAAATGATATTTGACTGAGATGCCAATATTACTATCCTTGAAAATTTGTGGGTGATCATTCATAACAAAAGAATAGCTAGTTTTATGTGAATTTATTACAATTATATAATTTATCACTAAGAACTCATGCAATGATTGTTTTCGGCATCCAACTATGAAAGAACATAACTTAAGATAGCGGTATAGATAGAGACATAGTCCTGATTTGGGCTCACTCTAACTGGATCCAATCAACTGCAACCGGTGCATGTCTATTCGTTTCTTTAAATATTACATTTTGAAAAACTAGCCGTTTACCATATATAGGTCACAAAAATCGGTTTTAAATAAATCCTACGTTTTGCGAGCTTTTAATTGGAATAAAATTTATTGTTTATGTTGTTTGAATTAATAGTTCGATCTTTCAGACAAAAATATTGTTTTCAACTTATTACTTCCGTTTAAATATTTGGGTTTCTACTGCGCCAATAAATTGACCCTAGTCTAAATAATATATCCAAGAGGGAAAATCTCTATTCAGACATCCGAATGAGATTTTTTTGTCCTTGAGTTTATCAATATCTCGAAAAGATTCATCGATCTCTTATCAAATTTAAATGGTCGAAGAAGGCTCTTTCGCAGCCAAAAATAAATCATCTAACGCATTACCTTAGAAAAACAAACTAGATCATGAGACGTAGCATTGAAAACTCTATAACTTCTAAAGAACGACTTATCTTATAGTTACACTTTTTGCTTTTAAAATGAACGAAATTCCAAGCGAATAAATTGCAATGCTTTGAAAGAGAAAGACCACTTTATTGATACAAGACAAAATGCATTTTCAGCTTATTACTTAACAAGCTCTACCTAGAAAACAGAACATATTACAAGACGCAGCATGAAAATCTCTATAATTCGCCAAAAAAAGCTTATTTTATTTTTGCATTATTTTTTAAAAAGATGAAAAGGATCGATTCGTTGTGTGTCTAAAAATAATCTCTTTTCGTAACTCTGCAATTTAGTCATTCAAAGTTTCGGGCAGTTTGAAAAGAAAAGGCGAAACTATATGGTAAGTCGTTCTTTGTAAATTATAAAGCTTTCAACGCTGCATTTTGTAATATATTTTGTTATTGACAATGCGTTAGATAACGAAAAGATGAGATGGGAAACTTATTGTGTTTTGGCCGCGGGAAAATAAACACATCACAATGGAAATGTTAATAATTTGCTTTTTCGCTTATAGCTTCTCATTTTTGTCATAGTTACTGCAATGTTTCTCTGTGCTATAGAGCAGCCATTCAGAAGTATTCAAATAATACTAAGAGTAGAAATAAGAATCAGAGACGAGCAAGTCAAGTCAAGTCCAAGTCTGATTCGACTTGACTTGACTTGTAAAAATCTCTGGCTTGCCCATCTGTGATAAGAATCATACACAGATGTTTATAGATCTCTGCTATTAATGTATTCGTATTCTTGAACAAGCGTCTATTACAGTTTATTCGCCAACAAATGTGAAAAGTATATAAACTAAATTTAAATGAATCAGCGTTCATTACAAACATTTTTTATGAGAACTCATCAGTTGATAACCGCTTCAGTCAGGAAATAAAGATAGAGATTAAGTGTTGGTCGCTTCTCCCTACTAAAAAGAGTAAAGAGACTTGTTGCAAAGCATGAATACTATTTAAGTCGATGGATGAATTTTATAAAAAGTGAGCAGAAATGAACTATGTGGTACTATGCGTTTACCGCTAGCCCGGGATAAATCTATCGTGCAATTTGTAAGCTATCCATATTGTTTCTTCTTCCATAGCGTTTTGCTTTCTTTCTTTTTCATTTGTTTTGGTTGATTCTGTATCAGTGCAAGTGTATTTGAACATCGCAATAAGCAAAACATACACTGAAAAAAATGAAGGTGTTCGACCAAACCCCTCAAAAAGGTTTCGTAGGTGCCCAAAAGTCTCCAAATGGGTCGACATGTTGAAAAAAACTACTTTTCACAATCTGCAAAACCAAAAAAAGATCAGTCGGCGGGTACACGCACCGAACCATCGTCACGGAACCTTTTTAAGTTTCGTACGATTCCAATAAAGGTTCGTCACATAATACGGAACCTCAAGGTTTCGCACTATGGTTTTGTACGAATCTACGAAGGTTTTGTATTTTGCGACGAAACCTTATTGGGGCCGTGCGAAACTTAAAAAGGTTCCGTGATGATGATTCGGAGCGTGTGCCCGCCAACCGATCCTTTTTTGGTTTCGTAGATTTTGGAAAAGCAGTTTTTTCAACATGTCGACACATTTGGAAGTTTTGAGCATCTACGAAACCTTTTTGAAGGGTTTGATCGAATACCTTAATTTTTTTCAGTGTACTAAAAATGAAATTAATTCCTAGCTATATTTCTTAATTTATTCTGGGCTATTTCTTTCCCTACTCGATTGAAAGCCTAACTCTCATTCTTTTCTTGTCGGCAATTAATTCTGAGCGCATGCATTTTATGTAGAATGTTATGCTTATCCGCTCGCAACGAGTAATTTTTCATCGCATTACTTGAAGTACAAGATAAATCACATTTAAGTAACGCTAAACATATAAAAATTGAGAATAAAAGTTCCTTATTTATTTATTTTCTTCATTACGGTGAAGTTTATCGAATGTATTTGCAAGCAAATGCAAGTTAAAAGACTGTTAGTGGAATCCCAGTTAGATTAAATTGTGAAATACGATGGAGCGTCCCAGGTCAAAACGTGCCTATCAAATCCGGTCGGATGCGATCCCACCCTCTTACTGTTTATGATTAGATTCCGAGTACGATTGGAACTAATAAGATTCGACAGGAGCATAGCTATTCCCACTACCCAGATTTAATCGGCCCCCGCGAGCATACATCCAACAGGAACAACCGGCAGATAGATGTAAGAAATAACTGGAACGTGCTGTACCTTATTCAGCATAATCGTTAGGCTTCACTGGAAGCAACATTAATAAATAGTTTGATTTTGAACTGTTTTCAGCATCGTTCTCTAGGAGAAACCAACCTCAACAATGACCATGACCCTATCTATATCCTATGCAAGAGGAATCAAGACACTTTGACAAATAGAATTAATCATTGTAAACTGAGCAGATAATTCGTTCAGTACTAAGCTATGTATCCGATTTATAACAGATACCCTTTGAGATTAAATCACACATAATTCACCTGACACCAGAAATCTGGATTACTCTCCAAGACCTATACATAGGGGTGAATTGTGTAATTCTGGTGTAATCTATGGTAATCCAATGGGAATATGGAGGAATCCGTGATAATCTTGATGAAATATGATGAAATTCGAGTGAAATCTGATGGAATCCAGACCGAGTCTTGTTAGTTTTTTGTATAATATAAGGCAATCCATATGAAATATGATGGAATCCATGTGCACTACGACGTCATCTAGGTGAATGATGGTGAGATTACGGGTAATCTAATGAGGTATTTTGCATATTTTTGTAAAATGTTGGATGGATTTTTCTTTTTCCGGTGCAATGCGGTCGGATTGTGAGAATGTCCGATGCTTTCCTGTGGCTATTATCCGTTTAGGTCAGGGCGTTATTCGGTCACTGGTTCCAGTCGTATACCTCCCGATCGAAATTGTGTGGGAATCCGATGGTGGATCCGATAGATTCCGGTCCGAAATATAGGACGGATCGATTCTCCTGAGAAGCTGCTAACATAGATTAGGGATGAAAAATATGGGGAACTTTCGGCTGAAAGTATTTGCATAACAGTTTTTTGATAACATAGACGGTAAACAATCGAGAGAAGAGACTCACAAGAAGAAAATTTATGGTAGGCTTTCCTGAAATTGGCATCGAATACAAGCCATGAGAACTAACAGAAGATCGCTAATGAGACGGCATACAATTGCAAACGAGAGGCTCAAGCTCAGTGCATGTCTGGCGTTAGTTACTATCATACAGAGTGTCAACTGAAGTAAAGAACACAGAATCTTTTCTTCTGTTGATTTATTTCTCCAGCTACTAGGTTTTTTTGCACAAAGATTTTTTATCTGTCTATACTATAAAAGGTCTGAAAAATTAAACTCGATAGGAAAACTCAAAATTTCGAGTTTACTTCATGCATTCACAATTCCTGATCAAAATCACTTTATATTTTATTCTGAATCATACTTTCATATAGATAACCCGTTTCTACAGTGACAAGAAGGAATTAATTAATAATTAGTTGACTACTACTCAAATAATTAGTAGGTTATAATTAACTCATCAACCTCTCCCCCCCCCACAATTAGTGACTCCAACTAACTAATTTGCCTATAAATTAACGGCTCCTAGTTAACTAATTATGGGTAATCTTAGTAATTTTTCAGTTAGGAGTAATTAAGCGATTATGGATCTTAATTACACTGAAGAAAAATAAGATGTTCTACCAAAACCATAAAAAAAAGTTTCGTAGATGCTCAAAGCTTCCAAATGTGTCGACATGTTGAAAAAAATGGTTTTCAAAAATCTGCGAAACCAAAAAACGATCGGTCGGCGGGCACACGCTCCGAACCATCGTCTCGAAACCTTTTTAAGTTTCGCACGGTTGCAATAAAGGTTCGCCAGAAAATACGGAACCTTGAGGTTTCGCACTAAGGTTTTGTACGAATCCATTAAGGTTTCGTATTTTGCGGCGAAATTTAAAAAGGTTCCGTGATGAGGGTTCGGAGCGTGTGCCCGCCGACCGATCGTTTTTTGGTTTCGCAGATTTTTGAAAACCATTTTTTTCAACATGTCCACACATTTGGAAGCTTTGAGCATCTACGAAACTTTTTTGATGGGTTTGGTAGAATACCTTATTTCTTTCAGTGTGAGTGAATAGGAGCGAGACATATGTGGCTTTGTTCTGCAGAGCCAGAATCAGAGGTACTGTAGTAATAAGTTATAACATCATTAGTTATTACTTATTTCCAGTATTTGTAATGTGCCATTTCTAATGCAAATTAATATTAGATGCAAAGTAACTACATATAAATTTGATTTTAAACTAGCATCTAATTAAGTTGAGACTCATTGATGTAAAACTCACCGAACTGGTTAATATTGAATTTTTCTACTCGGGCATTGTTATGATCGGCGACATAGAGATTGCCCTGTAAATCGAACGCCAAACCGATTGGGACTGCCAGTTGTTGCGATTGTCCCGCTAAAGCATTTCCACCAACAATAACACTTCCTTCTCTAGCATCTTTCATCCAACGCATGATTCGATTATTCCCTTGATCAGCTACATAGACAGTGCCTAACGAATCGACCACGACTCCTCGTGGTATTGATAGTTGCGTAAGACTATTTCCTTCTCCAAGACCACCAGCTACGATAATGCCTTGTTCTGCACCTACCATCCATTTCGTCACACGATTATTTCCCCATTCAGACACGTACACTGAACGATCTTGGTCAACGAATACGTATCCTACGCCAGAGAGTTGGTTGAGACGATATCCCTTCCCATGGCCACCTGCAACCACTGTTCCTTCAAACTCTCCTCTTCGATATCGTGTTACTTTAGCTTTTCTGTCATCACCGACATAGAGAGATCCATTCTTATCCATTGTCAAAGCCTCACAGTTGATGTTTGAAATGATCGTTTCTCCAGTTTTTCCATTTCGACGAGGCCATCGAACGACTCTGTCATTTCCGGCATCGCAGATGATGAGACTATTTGTTTCTTTGTCTAAAATCACATCTGTTGGGTACGCCAACTGATCATTGGCATTTCCTNTTTTTCGTAATCAACTCTTCTATGTAGCCCTCCTCTCAGGCGCGGTAGAAATGTTTTCTTCATTTTGGCCTTTGACCCCGGCTCTGACACAAACGGACAAACATACAAACTATTTTTTTCGTATGACCCTCCTTTCAGTCGAGGGATCTATATTGAAGGAGGTATGAGTGAACTAAATCGAAATTGGACACCTGGATCCGATTACTCATTAGCTCATGATGTACGAAATCCACAGAAAGTTTCATACGAAGATTGTTAGAAACGATTTTCGCTTTACTGAGCTCAAAAATGCTGAAAACAAATGTACGAAACTTTTAGGGTGGAGGTTTGGAATCCGCAGCTCCATGGTAACTATTCCGATAGCATCACAATTCATACTTTCTTCTGTAGACACAAGCGCTATCGGAAACCGTTACCATGAAAATGCAGATCCCTAATGAAAGCATCCTTAGAGCAAAAGAAAGTTGACGATAATGAATGCTGATTGGTAATTTTATTTTACCGTAGGCCGATTACAATAAAATTTGCGATGGAAAATATTGTGGCTGATTTTGTAGTTGTTGGAGGTGGTACTGCTGGATGCATACTAGCTGCAAGGCTAGCTGAACATGGCCTTGAAACTCTGCTATTATCTAGTGGTTCAGATGATACGTCAAACCCATTGATGAACCAGAAATCACAGTTTTTATCACTTTTAAAAGCTACTCATTTCAAACATTATCTACCTCATATGCCATTACCAAATCTGAATAATCGAACATTGAATCTTATCGTTTGGAATAGTCTTGGAGGAAATAGCATAAACTGGGGTGGGCTAGAGCGATTGACAGAAACCGAGTGTAATTTGCTTGTTAACGCAAGTGGTGATCCATCATTTTCCGTCGAACATATGTTAACATATTATAAAATGGTTGAAAACTTTACAACAACAGCACCATTTTCACTCGCTGGATTTCACGGTAATAATGGCCCAATACAAATAACACATATTAATGAGCCTGGATTCAGTGATGTATGGAAGAAGGTCGCTGATGAACTCGGTGAAGCTTTCAGCGATGATCTTGTAGGTGCTATTGATTACGGTTTTTCCTTTGAGCCATCATCGTTCAAAAATGGACTAAGAAGCTTCAGTGCTAACGAATATTTAATTCCTGCTTTGAATAAATATTCGAACCTTACTCTAATAACAGGCGCGACCGTAACCAAATTCGAAGTGAATGCAATAACTAAGCAAATTGACAATCTCTTATTCGTCTCCTCAAATGGATGTTTTCGCGCTATTGCTCGAAAAGAATACATTTTGTCTGCTGGTGCATTTTTCAGTCCTCATTTACTTATGTTGTCGGGCATTGGCGATCCGGATGTTCTTGAACAAAATAATATACCTGTAAAGCATATTTTAAGACAGGTTGGGAAAAATTTGACCGACAATGGCTTTATCGAACTGGAATATGAGGCAAAAGACTTTGTCATTGGTCAATGTATACCGGTTGCTTTGATCAATACCCGAAAGCGAACGACCACAATGAATCCTGATTTGTTTTTCGTTCTAAACATGCATCAGGCAGTGGGAAAACTGCATGTATCCATCTTCAATGCTTCGCCAAGATCACCCAGCGGGTCTATTTCATTATATAGTTCCAATCCACTTGTACCCCCAAAGGTAACTTTAAATTACCTTGATGATCAAAAAGACATTGAAACATTTATTGATGGTATCAATTATGTACGACGAATGATGTCGACAAATGCTATGAAACACTTTGCTCAAGTAATCGAGACTTTGCCAGGAAAAGAGACGAACTTGCACATGTATATTCGAGACAAATTATTACCCTCTGGTCATTTTGTCGGTACATGCTCGATGGGACAAGATCCACAGACATCAGTGGTCGATAAAGATTTCAAAGTACATGGAATCAACAATCTTCGCGTGGTCGACGCATCAGTATTTCCCGCAGGTTTTGTTTCAAAAAAAGGTCCTTGTTTAACCGTCTATGCTTTAGCAGAAAAGGCAGTGAATCTCTTGAAACAACAGTATTTGTGATAATATTTTCTTCTCCTTATATTATAATTTAGGCTTTTCTATGAAATACAAATAAATCTTTTAGTGGAACAAGTTTGCAAGACATCTGCCTGCGATGCATACTCTAAGTAAACCTTTCGTCTTTCGTAGGTACTTTTTAAATATAACCATTTCACCGTGCGTATTGATAAGAAACTTAAAGTAAAATTTGCATAATGTTCTTCTTAGAGGATAAGTGATTTGCAAATATTTCTTATAACGCGTCTACAGTTTATAGGCGATGGATTGAAACAAGTCTAAAGGAAAAATTTAGTTTTGGATGAGAATCATGCACAAGTTTAGTCAGTATCTGGCGAATCCTTTCGTGACTAGTCTGTTTGATTGATTTATTCACACTCGATAAGTGATAATAACAGCATAGAAAAGTATCAGGGAACAAATAAAGAAACCTAGCTTCCACCTATTACTATTTAAGAGTACGAAAAAAAATTAATGTAAGTTTAATATCCAAGCAAATGAAGAAGTAGGTGCTGAAATAGATTTATCTACTCGAAGATCATATGGGGCAGGATTTGAGTCGGTTTTTTAGGCTTTTTAGAAGTTGCAGAGCATTTTTTGAGAGAGAATGACCTGTGTAGTGAATATTTCGACAACAAGCAATTTTTTGCCGCTAATATCGACACGCCATTACAGAAGTAATATAGAATCTCTTAGTGGAATTCCTGCACAATAACAATGTGAAACATGAAATAGCCGTTGTAAGTTCATCTCATACAGGAGGTAAAGAGAAGACGAATTTTTCTTCTCTTTGATCTCGCACGTCCCCTTATTTACTTTTATTCATCCTCTGATACAGAGGAGTAAGTCATCATTTTTAAACACTGGCAGCTCATATTAGATGCCTAATAAAAGAGAAGCAGATACAGCGGCCAAACTTCGTCAGAGTTGTGATAAACAAATTAAAGCAAGACAATTAACTTCACCAACATACACATCAACTAATGAATCACAAGGTATGGCAAAATCACAAACAACTAGAGAAAACCAATTGAAATTTACAATCTCGCTTCTAATAGTAGATGGTGTGAGATTAAACAAACTTGAATTAAATGATATGATCACAAAATACTTATCTGATGCGTCGACCACGCGAAGATTGTTGATTCCATGTACTTTGAAATCTTTATCGACCACTGATGTCTGTGGATCTTGTCCCATCGAGCATGTACCGACAAAATGA